CAAATTGTGTAGCTTATTTCGATGTAATTTTGAAATAGCTTGTTTTGCTGTCTATACAGTACCAAATTTCAAAATACAGTGCTATTCCAACAATCCCTTAACCCTCATGGAATGAGGGTTGCAGGGACATCAGAATAGCTCGCCCGTTATTTTGAAATATATTTTGAAATAACGGGTGTGTTTAAAGATGCAGAATTGCTATTTCATAGATCTGGTATCCCAAAATAGCACTGCTATCTAGATGTAGCCTTAGAGCTCCTTAAATTTGTCAGTTTTTTAAAACATTCCTTAAAAAACCTCTGATTATATCTTATCATGTCTGAGGTGAAATCTCTGAGCAGGAAAACTTACATGCTAAATGGATGAATTTCACACACTTTTGGATGAATTTCAATAAGTAAAGAAACTTTGGGTAAATCTTAAGATGTGTTTGTGGCTGCATCTATAGTCATACTTAAAACCAAATATGCAGCTTAAAAAATTAAAATCACAGTATATGTCCCTATATGTATTGGTGCATAAAATGCAATTTTAGTTTTTATGTAATGTGTTTTTTTTATTAAATTGTAATGCACCTGTAAAATCACATGACCACAGGTCTTCTTTGGGAGCAATCTATAGCAAGTAACCTTTATAAAAGATCAGTTTTTCACATAATTCTTGATTTTTAAAATTGTATAACTGCTATTCTTGGTATTACTGGTCATAATGAATCAAAACAGAAATTCAGGCTCAAATGGGTGCCTGACTAATATAATTTCTAAAGCCCCAAAAGAATTTGAACTGTTAATTGTGATCTTCTGCTTTCTGCCGCTTAAAATATATATGTTGACACACTGTGTCCTTTATATAGGAACTTTCATACAAGATGATAAGAGATTGCATTCCAAATGGTATATTTTCTCCTTTGGCCAGACACTTACAGATGTTTAAAACCTTCATCTGATAGCTATACCTGAATTTGCTCAAAAGATTAATGCTCAGTATTAGAATGATTTGACCTACATATCTTGGTTGTTGGGGTGGATGAAATATAGAATCTTTTTATTTTGTGCACATAAATAAGACTCTTTGCAAAATATATAATTAATAGAAGATTTAACTTGGGTTGCTCAGGTCCTTAACTGAATTAATAGTTGTTTTTCATCATTTGAATCATTGTTCTGGGGTGGGGCTGGGGATGGAGGGGTTCAATATGGAGGCTGCCATAGGGAGAGGACTATTTCTCCCCTTTCTCACCACAGCAGCTTCAGGCCAGGTGAGAAGTGCCTCTCCATAGCCACTGCAGGTCCAGTGGGCACAGCTTGGGGAGGGATGCATGTCCTACCACTGGGGCAGGTCCAGGTTTGTCTTCCCCCTGTGCTCCCCAGTCAGATTAGGAATGGAACAAATTGTGCACTTTCCCCTTGCTCCCCAATGAAAGGTAATAGGCTGCAATTTTCCCATAGGAAGGGTGGAGGGGCTTCAGCCTCTTACCCTCCTTAAATGGTGCATGAGCAGTGGGAGGCCTGGGACCGGGGGCTTCCTGAGT